TCTCAACCTCTCGTTGAAGCCTACGCCTGGTGAGTGCCAATATACAACTGCTGGGACAGAGTATATAAGCACATATAAAATCAGTTTTATGCCAGTAATGTAAATAACAAGTGATAACAACCGTAGACTATGTTATTCTACTTTCGTGGGAGGGCAGAAAAACGCTTATCGTTAAATAGTTAAATGTAAACAAAAAACAGATTGCATATTCCACCTTTGTACCATGTTCTAATGTATACTGTAATTTTTGTAAAAGCTCTTCTGGTGTACAATGAATTTTACTTATTTTATAAATTAATTAAAATCTTTAACAAGTTATTGGTGTAACTGTTTGACAAGTAACTCGATTAATTTCAAGCCACGCTAAAGGCTTATATTCATAACACGATGCGGATAACGTCCATCCAATTTTTTATTAATAATTAATTTAGTATGTAAAAATATCCTAAATTGTAACTATTATTATTCTTTTTATATTTATAGCGAGTTCCCAAGCATCAGACGCTTTGTCGCGACTGACGTCACTGAGTAGCTCTCTCAACGCGTCCTCCAGTCACGATAGAATATGTAAGTATCATATAAAATATTTATTTATTTCTAAATATAATAATATGTATGTCATTGACTTAACTTCTGGTACAATCGAACAAAATTCTCATGACTTGGGTCACCCGTGATATTTGCTGATTGTACTTTTGTAAAAAAAAATCTATTGAAAATGACATTGTTGAAGAATACCATAAAGAAATAAGTTTAAAATGTTAATTTTGCAAATAATTAAAGATAATACAGTCAATAACTTAAGCTAAATATTGTCTTAACCTTGTACTTAAACAGCCCGACGCAAGCCGGGCGCTAAGCCACGTCGCGTCGCCCCGGAATTGAACCCTGTACCCGACGCACCGCGGCCTAAATCCAGTGGAAGCGAGGACAGTGAATGTACGTTGTGATTTCAAAAGGAACTTCTATTTTTGAATTTGAATTTTTGGAAATCTCTACGCAATTCTGAATTTAAATAATTTGCTTCAACTGTCTGTGTGTTTTTGCTGTAATTTTTTTTTATTTATACAAATCTTTTTACTTTAAATACCAGATCGATAAAAAAAAAACGAGTATTCAATCTTATAATGTATGTTTATAAATCGATCAAAGAAAGTCTCATGTTACCCTTCATCGTTTAAAACCGCTGAATTATTTTTGACAAACATTTTGAACAATATAGATCGACCATGCTCTGGTCAATTACGTGTAAACATTACAAAATAATGTTTACAACGACTAGGCGCACAATATTAGAGAATTTATTCTTTCAAAAAATCGCGTAAACATTTCCAAAAAATAAAGAGTGTGATTTTGAGATTGTATTTTAAAATTGTGTTTGTTAATTTAAGCGTGCTTGCTAGTTTTGTATCGATACAATTCAAATTGCGAACGCGATTCACTGTCCTCCCATCCAGGGCTAATTAAATATTTTTTATTACATAGTAAAATTAATAATACTAATTAATAAAATTGTAACTAACATCTTTTTGTATCGATGCATAACGTTATAACATCTTCATTTGTAGATAAAATATTCGTATCGTGGGTGCGTTTACAAACATACAAAAATACAATTTCAAATACACATCACACCCAGACCAAAGAGTTGTTCCGTACGGGAAAAGAACCTGCGACACGTTGTTGCCCAGCCACCTCGCCAACCGTACAGTTAAAGTATAGATATAACTACTTTTTTAACTTCACAACTAAATAACATTATCCAACAGCAGTTGCGGGGTGGGCAGGCAGGGAGGGTCGGCCGAGGAACCTGGGACGCGGAGTTAGTAAGCCTAAGAAGAATACAGTCGCCTCGCTATTGGCTCAGAGCAGGGCTCTCGGGCTGAGGCCTGCGCTTGCGCACCAGTTGCTGGCTGAGACTGATTTGGTAAGTGATTTTAAGTTCTATCTATCGTAAATGGCATTAGTAATGTTTATTAAGAAAACTAAAATTTTATAGACAGCCTAAAGTGCCTTATTGGCTTAATTGAAATAAATGATTTGACCTCGATACTGAATACAGGTTGGTGCACAAGTTTGTGTAGCATATTTTTCCTTAGGCGGATTTATTACCGTAGGCGTTAAATCAAATTGAATTGAGACCCTTGTCTTCAGAATAACATGAACTTACCTTAAATATATGAATAGAATTGATATTTTCATAGTCAGCAATGAATCTATTGTATTTTTATTATAACTTTCGGCTTACTCACGTAATAATTTGACGAGATACTCGAATATGAATATCGCTCGCGCTGCTACTCAGAATATGAATATGGGACTCTAGCATGGCGAAACTAGTCGAGTATCTCGTCAAATTATTACACGAGTAAGCCGAAAACATAATAATCAATCTATTGTTGTTTGTTTCATACTGTTATTAATTGTAATTCCTTTCCTTATAAAGTATAGTAGCAACGACACAAAAACTTACCTGTACTTTTTCTTCTTTTTCAGGAAAAACTGAAAGCTTTATTGGGCGAGACTGCGAGCACAGATTCGGAGTGTCCGTCGGACAGTTGTCCCTCCGACTCGGACGCGTCCGACACTAGTCGGAGACCCAATGATGCACAGCTACGGCTGCCTCTGGCTTTAGGTAAGACAGAACCTATCTTTTTGATGTCAGGTTAACAAACGAGCAGTCGGATTACCTGATTGTTCGCATTCAGCGCCGCCCATGGACACCTACAAAACCAAAGGATGGGTTGTTACGGAAAGGGGATGTGAGCATAAAAGGTGGAGCCTCCGGTAACCTCACTTACATGACGAAAGTATTCCTTCACGCCGGATTTCTGTGAGGCCGTGGAATCACTCTAGTCGAGTCGACCCATACGTGCCGAAGCTTGGCTCTTCCATACTTAAACACACCGTCAACTGCTGAAAGAGCACCTAGTGAAGGCCTTTATGAAACCTTAATAAAGACCATATATACTAACTTTTATTATTATAACTGCAGAGACTGTTGATTACGAGGTATTTTATTATTTCTGAGAGTCTAAAAATGGTGACAGTTTATCTGATGTATTAAGTATGTATTAAGATAACTTGACAGTAAGCAATCAGCGCTTTCCTCAGACATCAGCAACACTATCCTTGATAAATGCAGTACCTCACACAAAAATACAGTAAATGTGGAAACAAGTACAATAACAGATATATGTATATCGATAATCGGACAGCTCATTTGCCAATCTATCAAATAACATAAGATTATATCAATTGATCAACATTTATTCTCTGACTATTATTCTTTGACTACCACAAATAAAATGGAAAAATACCAATCTCTGTACTACTTAAGCTCAATGATTTTTTGTGTTTCAGGTTGGAAGCGTGTAACAGTGATTAAGGGTCTCTCCCGTAACTGCAGCATTAAGGGGGACGTGACCTACTCTCCCCCGGACCCACACGCCGGCATCACCATGCGGTCCCTACATGATATACAGAATGTACGTCTATTTCATATACAAAACAAAAACAAACAAACAATGAATTAATTTTTTCAACTGTTCCATCAAAAACGTTATTTCACGCCGGTTTCCTATGAAGCCTACCACTTCGGTCGTTCTCCTATCAGTCGGGTCTTCCTATCACTCCGGTCGTCCCGACGCATGGCTCTCCCACACTTAAGTTTGAATAGTTCTCGAGTAATTTTTGACATGTAATTCATCTAGAAACTAAATTTTGAAGCAAATCTTTCGCATTGGCGAAATTACACAATTATACCAAATTTCAACGTATTTAACAAAGCTAAAATGTATTAAACTAATATAATTTCGATGATATAATATTCAGTAATAGTATTCGGCACAAAATCTTTGCTAATTAATCGTTATTTTAACTAGGTGGTATCGAATATATTTGTTATGAAAGTTTGAAAGTACTTCATTAATAAATTCAAGTATTTATTAAATAAAACTAAGTATGGCTTCAAACATATTTGTCCAGAACATCCTGCTACATATAAAACAAACAAAACTGACTATACTAAAAATACCTACCGACCACTGCATACTTTTTTCCAAGAATATTTTGAAGCTGATTTTCAAATTTTATGTTGTTACAGTTCCTAGAATCGAACCCGTGCCCGCCTCTATCGACTGACAACTTCAGTTTCTCTGCGCGCACGGTACTCGGGGAGTACATCCAGCCGGCCAGCGAGGTCGGGGAGCCATTAATATACAACGAGAGTGAAATAAATAAGAGGTAACCTTAAAATAATATTGTTTTTATTTGGGATAGATGCCTACTCTAAACAATTGGGTAGTTTCCTAGGTCAAAAATAAATTAATCCGATGTTTCAATACAATGAAATATTGAAAAATAACTATACTTTTATTCATCGATCGATCGATACACCAAGTTTTAGATTTTTTTAGCTAATTATTGTTAAATAAGTAACCTATTTGACGCAAAAATGTTATGACGTCATAGCTCAGTTTTTCATACAAATTTCATAGAAAAGTATCGTTTTTGACGTTTGGATAAAAGTAATGAATTTGACTAGTTGGAAACTACCGTATTCTTTGTTAAAAATAACGACTTAGTCGTTACGTGAGTTATGGTACTGGTCGGCAAACTAGCTGACGGATTACCTGATGGTAAGCAATCAGCGCCGCCCATGGACGCTCGCAACACCAAAGGACTTAAGCGTGCGTTGCCGACCTTTCAGGTTTCGGATATTTAAGTATTGGGAAGGGATGGGGTTAGGTGGAAGTATTGGGCCTCCGGTAACCTCACTCGCACGGCGAAACACAACGCTGGACTTGTTTCACGCCGGTTTTATATAAAACCGTGGTATCACTCCGGTCGAGCCGACCCATTCGTGCCGAAGCTTGGCTCTCCCAAAGGAGGTTGAGGCACAGTTAAAAGAAAACTTGGCTTATATAAATGATGTTCTCCTAGACTGGAAGAAGCGCGGCTCCTATCGGGCGCGGGCGGGCGTCCTACGCCGCCGCCGCTGGACCGCCGCATGGAACTGGCGCGCCTGCAGCAAGCCGCCAGGGACGCTCGGAGGGATGCCTCGAATCGATCACGAGATCAAGTAAGTTATAAAAGTTGTATTCGCTGACATACAGACTGACGGACAATTCAAGTTTGAGTAAGTTGTAAAGGCTATCTTCACTGATGGGCTGACTAACGGGCGTTCCAACGTTCCAACGTTAAGGTTTTGAATGTACCTGTTCGAAAATTAAATGAAAAAAAAAAGGTTTAATTTAGACTGTCGCCTAACCTGTCGTAGGTTCGATTCTCGCACGAAACAACTATTTGTGTGATCAACACATGTTTGAATGTTGCACACCCGGGTCAGAAAAAAAATCAAGACAACGATTGTTAAAAAAAAGATAAAAGCACCATCTTGCGAGGCACACTAAATAAAAATAAACTGACTAATGAAAATACTCATCGGATATCTTAATAAAATTATTCGAGAAAAACTCGACTACTTTCAAGTTACACCGGGGCTCTTGATTCTTGAAAACAGCATTATACATGCACGAAATTAGTCTAAAACCACAATATTAATCACGATTATTCCTCTACAGGCCCGTCTAGAAAGATCGGAAAAGGCAGAGTTAGCGAAACGTGAAAAGGAGGCGAGAAGTCAACAGTTATTGGAGGTAATATTTCTATAATAAATGTGTCTAAGAGTGTGTAGAATCGTAAGTGTCACTGATCATGATTTCTATGGCTCTAGTAAGTTGTCTATCTCAAAAGTTGTAGGACGGATGTGTGTCAACATAATGGCTTTATCTAGATTTTTTTATATGTTGTGTTGTTGTGTAAAAGTTAAAGTAAAGGTATGATTGCCCAGAAGTTAAGGCTGAGACTTAAAACTAGTAGAACTTTTTTTAGTTAATTCACGCGAATAAGTAGTTACTTTAAAATAAATTTAGTGCTCGATTCGGTCGAAATTTAAGTGCACTTTTGTATATTAGCAAATATTTATTGTTATCTATAAAAAATAATGCTGGCGAGTTCGATTTGGCTAATTTTGGTCATGCAATATTCCTAGATTTCCAGGGAAGGTTTAAAAAGTCAGAGAATATGAGTGAATTAAAAAAAGGTGTATTTGAGGCGAGACGAAGTTGGCCACGAAAACCATCAATTTTGTCGTGTATAACTATAACTCACTCAGTAACCATTTTAAAAAGCAAAAGTTTAATTTTCTTTTTATTTAACTAAACGTTGCTCTCCTCCCTAGAATTTCTGCTATGTCGTGGATACCTACGCCCGAAACGACAATTTGTTAATCGCTATAGAATCGCACAGACTAATTCTTTCTTGCATTCTTAATGGTTGATTTGTTGACACACGTCCGTTGCTAGGCAACGTCATAAAGAGAATGTTGGGGTATGAATTAGTGTGTTTATTTATCTGTGTCTCGGACCTAATTATATGTTTAGATGGAATAGAATTTTGGTTTTAATCTAGATTATTAATGTCATATTATTTTGTTATATTTACTTATGTCACCCGTCACTCTCATCTCTTTTTTACCTTAAAGTCAACTGTTAGACAATACCTATATTTTTACTAAATAAATAATTAATATAGTAGATTACACATAACAATTTTATTGTGTTTCGCCGTCTGAGTGAGGGTACCGGATGCCTAATCCTTCCCCCATCCACTATCCTGAAATCTCCTACAATTAAATCTCTAACCACCCACAATAGGTCGGCAAAGCACTTGTAGTAACTCGTTTCGTTTCGTATTACATGTGTACACGGGCGATCCGATTACTTACCATTATAACATAAAAAACAGAAATTCAGTCATTTGTATGGCTAACACCCGGTTCCTGAAAGGCTTGTCAACGCTAAAATTAACTAATCTCCTGTTAAATCTCTTGTCAAGTTATCTGATTGGTTGTTGATAATTCAGTCAACCAATCAGATGACTTGACAAGAGATTAAATTGATTTTAACATTGATCGGCCTTTCGGAAACCGGGTGTTAGTAAGCTAAGTTGGCTGTGACATATGTATATACCTACTACATATGTAATTAGACATAATTGCAAAATGATTAATTCGTGTGTGCTTCAAATTAAACAATCAAGCATCATGAGCCATTTTCCGAAAATTTGTAGGCTTTTGTTTCTTTTTAATTATTCATTCCAGATTCCATCTAGACATGTAATTAGTCTGAATTATGTGGGTTTTATTATTTTGTGTTCCTCTCTGTGTTCTAATGGTTCTCATATTATTATTAAATGTAATTTTGTATTATAAATAATAATTTATATTTAATATAAGTTGAAGTTATTATCACTTTTTTACTAAATACCTTTTTATGTAACAAAGTAGATGAAGAATATCGTGACCAATAATAATACATTATAATAAATAAATTATGTAATAATTTTGTAAGGAATTATTTGTTTTGTTTCATATACATAAATAACAGAGGAATTTTAGACATATACTTACATGTAAAAACTATAATATAATGTAAATAAATATGTTTAAAACACTAATTAATAATACACATAATTCTGTTTAGTAAAGTCAAAAAAAATTTTCTTCCTTTCTTTCTTTTTTTGTTTTGTTCGATAAATCTGTGTACCTTCAAATATACACCACATGTATGATGTTTATAAAAACTATTTATTAATAATATGAGAACTATTCCTGTCTTTAGTTCGTTTATATGTTTTTAAAACCATGTGCTTGTGTTTGTTTTTATTTTTTTATTATCAATTTGATGCTTGGCAACATTGTGCTCACCAATCGTATCTGTAGAATTTGTTCTATATTCAAAAGCAAAAAGGGCCGTTTTGGGGTTGCCAACGTAAAAAAATTGGTTACTTTTTGCTTTTTAAAGTAGAAAGCATTGGAAATTCTTAGCTTTTAGTTGGTAGTTGAGCTGTGTGCCTAGATATTATGGTGTATATATATACTTATATACTTCTATAATATTATATTTATGTAAAATACTGTCTATATGGGATATTAGTAGAAAAAATAACACAAAACCGTACTGCTAAAAAAGGGGAAATTGACAATGTTGTCATAATCCAAATTGATAATAAACACGAAAGAATTCGATAAAAAAAAAAAAAACAAAAAAAAAACTACAAAAAATATAAAATTAACGAAGCAAATACTCCGAAACAGCATATCAACAAGAATCGAACGCAGTTGACGATCGAGCCCGTCCCTACGGTAGCAAAAACCGGTATCGACGAATGGAAAACCCCCGAAATAGTGATGGGACCAGCCACAAAGACGAGCAAAGAGCGAATCATACCACCAATAAGCCTTTCACTTATCCCAGTCACTGGGCCAAAAGACCAAAACTCCCCAATAAAAACGTTAAAATTCGACCAATCAGGATGGAAAGAGGAATATAACGCCTTAGACAAAATGAAAGACTTCGCTGAAAAAGCCGCTTTTGATCTACCAAAGCGGAAAGATAAAAATTTCGACTTCACCCTTGTAAAGTCAGCGGAAAAGCGCTCGAAAGCGCCAGAGAAAACCAATAACTTAGAGAAACTTATTGAATCGTATTCTAGAATCACTGAATTCATAAACGGTTGTGATTGGTCGCAAATACAAGGGGACAAAAAGACTGAGGACCCTAAGGCTATAGAACAGAAATATCTGAACGCGAAAAACGAATTCATGTCACAGAATCTAATGTTAATGCCTAAAGAGAGTCCTAAATCAGTCCTAAAAGAGGTCATCGACCTCAGCGAGGACGATGACATTCTGACAGATATAATGTCAAAGAAAATAAACAAAGGAACGTTTAGTGTGGGGAAAGACGGGGCTTTATCGATATCGGTACATCCCTTGAGCAAGGAAACGATGACATCGGTACGTGTATAAACTAAATGTACTAATTTTTCGAAAATGACTAACACTGCACGACTAATCGAAAGGGGAAGGGATGGCACTTGTATTTACAGAAGTCTTGCAATGGTGAAGGAATTAGAAAAAAAAACGTCTCATTATTATTGTAAATCTTCTTTCATCGAAAATTTAAGCAAACAACTTCACTATAATTATTAAAAACTTGCTATCGCATTCTAATGTTTATGAAGAGAAAGGGATATATTTCGAGAGCTTTCAAAATTATATATTGTCCGGCTTTATTACTGTGCTGTCCTTCTTTTTAATAAAAGAACATTATTATATTAAATTTTTGTATTATTTTGATAAAAGTGTAAGTATTAAAATACTTTTTGTACAAAGAGGATACTATAGACAAGGGGATTTAAGAAATATAATAGATTTTTTTTATTATTTGCGATAATTACACGCAGTAATAATATCGCCTGTCTTAGACCGGATAGGGATAGCTGTATTTTCTCAAGCAATAAGGGGTGTTTAATCATATCGAAATTATGGTAACATGACAATTATCTTTCTGGAAACTGTCAATAACTTTATTTATTACCTTTCTGTTAACCCTTATGTAAGTATTTGCACGCTGTTCACTATCTCATAGTTATGCTTTAATAGGCTTTTTTATTATTATTTTTATTTTTCACAAACTATTGAAAGATTCAACCTCAAAAATGTGTTTTGATTTCGTTTAAAAAAAATACCAGATTATTTATTATTTTATCATACAAAAAAAAAACATTTAAAACATTGACGTTCTAAATTTAAATCGAAAAAGAAATCAAACACGTTGTCCAGCCAGCATCTTTCTAAGTGAGAACCTTTTTTTTATTTTTGTTCCATGTAACGCTGTTCTAATATAATTTGCTGTACCGCTTTCGATGTTGTTCGCACTTTTGAAGGCAAAAAGAAGGAAACACGAAGAAATCGAGAAACAGAAGATAGAAGAACAGGCCAAACGACAACAGGTTTGTACTGAGAACATTGCACATGTAAACTGCAGCTCTTGTATTAATTAGAATACACTACGTTGACTAGTGTTGTCCTTACGAGTCCCGGTTCTGACTTGAAACTAGTCGGGCATACTGTAGCAGTATAACTGCTCAAGAAAGTAGTGTATTCTAATTAATTTTGTATATGCACAATAATAGTTAGTAAAAATGGCAACGTATGTAGTGTAAAGATTGACCTGTCAGTATAAGTGACTTCCCAGATAAGGAAGTACTTAGGAATGGGGTGGTTTCAGTCAGTAAGAGTCTGACATTCAGTCTCGCCCCACCTAAACTAGGAGAAGTCACAAGTACTTAAGTATCGTCATGAGCTAATGTTCACATGTAAACAGCAGCTCATGTAGTGCAGAGATTGTCCAGTCAACTGATGGTAGCGTAGACTGTCCAGGCGACACACGTACTTAGGTATCGTCATGAGCTAATGTTCACACGTACATACGCTGTAGTGAAGCTCGCTAGCATTATTTTCATTTGCTTAAATAAATTTAGGTCAAAATCCTATCTAGTCACTGCCAAGTGAGGTTTCTTTTTGTTTGTTTCCAAGTACTTAATGTAGGAACGATTGTTGAATTTTAATGTCCTTTTTTATCACGCCCTTTCTCGCAATTTCTTCAAAGTAAAAGCTTGCTTAGACTGTGTTGTTATCACATTGAACAAGATTTTTTCTTATAGAAACTGTTTATTTGTTTTGTCAATCGATGAGAGCATCGTTATTTTGAGATAACTTAAAAGATTTAGTACCTGAATGACGGAGTTTTTCACAGTATTTCATTGATACATTTTCTGAAAAAATATCTATATCGCCTCCGAAAACCCCTGCATACAAATTTGTATGAAAATCGTTTGAGCCGTTTCCGAGATTTAGATTACATAGATATATATACAAAAATGGGTCGTTTAAACATAAATATAATGAAATATTTTTTGACTGAAAAATACATCTTGAGTCTTAAGTCTTTGCAAGCTTTTACAAACTGAAATAAATTGTTTCAGGAGAGAGAAATAAAGCGGCAACAAGCCATACTGCTTAAAGAACAGGTTATTATTATTATTTTCATATATTTTTATTAATAATTTGTGTGTGATTAACATTGTTTTTTTATTATATTTGGATTTAAGTAAGATTTACGTGAGGTACTGCTTAAACAAGAGTAATGTTATTACGTTTTGTTTTTTTTTATCTTTTAACGCGATTTTATGGGGATAACATTTTCTTACACGCAGATGCTTTCCTACATTTTAATCTAGAACTGTATAAACTGAAAAACGAAACTAGTACAAAATCACCTAGCTTCAATCACAATTACAGTAATGGCGTACAATTTTAATTGCATACTCCTTACTTAAATCCAAATATAAATACATAAAGTGTTTGTCCGCGTGTGTGTTTGTGTGTAACCTCGTTTTCTCTTTTATTACAATCCTCGCTGACTACGGCGGGTGCACAGCAAAAGTATATAACCGAGGTAATAATAAAAGTAGAACTTATATTGCTTGACTTGCTCAGTAATCTGTAGTTTTAGTCTATCTTCAAGAATATTGACAGTTTTACAAAAAATGTATCATAATATTTAAAACAAATTTTAATGAAAATCGACTGTTATCGAGTAGTTAATATCTTATTCAAGACTCTCAATTTCAAGAATCTCTTGTTAAAGACTTTTTCTGAAATTTCTGTCTGTTAAAATTTCAGTTCATTCGGTTGAAGATATCTGCTTTAAAATTACTAAATTTTTTAGCAAGTTTCGTTTGAGTTTCTTTTTAATATCGTTGCCCTACACTAGCATTTTCTCCTATGTCGTGGGTACAATTACAAACATACAATTTCACATACTGATCACACACACCCAGACCCAGTACAACATTTTGTCGATCATAAAAAAGAATAATAATAATTCCGTTTTGGAATGAACCCGCGATACCTTACACAACAGAACTAGTAGGTACTTGAGTTACCCAACCCTGTCTCCTAACTGTGCAGTCAAAGTTGATTTGTGAAACTGTTAATATCCGTTCTATTTTTATTACATGTTAGTATTCTGCATTTCTATCTACATAACTTTTACCAATATATCACAGTTTGTTGTCAATTTTTTTTACACAATAATTTGCTGTAGCTCGCTTCTCGCTTATTCTAATAAATTCATGTTGCTTATCTATGTCGCATCTAACTGCTTTTAACAGCCATTCAATGAACCAGCTAGCCCTTTGATCGCAGTATAATTTGAGTAGCTTTATTTGCGATGGCGGTTCCCTTTCTCAGTGGTTCAGAGTTCTAACCTAGCCTACCATTCTAGTAGCAAGTCGGTTTTTATGAGAAACCATTCACACTTCATGAATGAGTAATTTGTCCATTCAATCAAACGACTAGTCCTTCAGGCCGTTGGTGGGATGGCTAATTCAAGTATTTGGCTACGACATCTACATATAGGTACCCCAATGTTAAGCTTAGAGACACATTTATATTACGTGTCGTTTCGTCAAGCGAAATAAGGTTTTATATATTTTAAAGCATACGACATGACACAACGGCTTTTGGCTCGACAAGACTATTGTTCTTTTTATTCGTTATGGGCTGGCATTTGGCCTCTTTCACGCCTCGTGGTAAGCAATGATGCGATCACGAAAAATATTGATTTCTGTAGTATAGTTGATTGGTATTATAGTTGATGGGTCATTATTATGACAACCAATCAGCGGGCCCACCTGAACCGTCAGTCTTCCAAATGTAAATAGTAGGTATAAATAATAATGAAGGTTAGGTTTCAAATTCGGATGGAAAACGATATTTTTTAAATTTTCAATTAAATATGTGTATAAGACAAAATTACGTATATGAAATTCATTACTTAAGTAACATTAAATTTGTTAAGCATCACCTCTTTCTAACACTTTGAGAAATATAAGTAACTATGTTTTAATTAAACAAAACTAGAAACAAACGGAATTCCTTTACTTATATCTTGTAAATATTTACTATTAAAACTACTAACAAACAAACTGACATTCGTTATTTACATAGGTTTAACAGCTTACTAACGTAGTTGTTTGACGAAGTAGCTCGACTCGTTTCAAGCCACGATGGGAGCCCATAATCATGAACAATGTTGTTTGAATTGGCTCAAAAGTACACAAGTTTACTCATCACACATCGCAGTGTTACTCGTGACTATGAGTCCCGGGCGTGGCGTGAAACTAATAGAGGTAACTTGTTAAACAGTTACGCGATGACTAAAAAGGATTACTAACACATAATAAAAACATTTTACCCCAAATCTCCACAACTTATCAATATATCTTTCTCTTTTTAGGAAAGGGAGCGCAGACGTCAGCACACTTCCTTCATACGTCAGCTGGACTCCCGTAGGAGATGGGAGGAGAGGGAAAGGAGAAAGCATCAGAACCTGCTGGACAGGCTGCTGGTGAAAGAGAGGAAGTTACAACAGAGAAGGAGGGAAATGGAACTGCTTTCTGAATTGAGGTTGGTTTTTTATGACTTGGGGCGGTTAACGGAAAGATGGATCACCTGATGGTAAGCAATTGGCGTTAGCCTATAAACACATACTTACAACACTAGAGGAGTTACAATTAAGTTACCAGTTTATTGGGATTAGGCATTTTAGGGTCAGGAGAAATGGGTGCGGGGATATAATTGAAATCACGGTGGCCAGTTTTATAGACTCACCACGGGACACCGTCAACAAATGTGACGTAATACATAATTAGTGAAAAGGAGGTTGTTACATCCTTACATCTGTCTAAACTCAGGGAATAAGAGGCGCGATATTGTATTATTTTCTTTCAAATAAAGCATTGCCCCACAATAAGATTTTCTTCTGCGTCGTAGGTCCCTTTTGAAACATCACACCCTATTTTTATTATGAAACATATTTGTACATGACAACTTACTTACGTGAATTAATGGAGAAAAGCTTCACTGGTTTCAAGTCGCATCATGACTCTTACTTGTCGTATAGAGTCGTCAAGATTAAGGGTCCCGATGTTACTTGAAACCTTCAACTAGAAGGAGGGCTTTTCTCAGTTTGACTGTAAGTCGTTATTTCAATAACTTTAATACGTCTCACGATAGTATAGTACCTATTCAAAAACACCAAGTACAATTTTTGTAAGAATCCTCTTTTACGAAAACGTACTAATGTTTGTATTTATACTCTATATTTTTGAAATGTTAATAAGTATTTAACCGATTCCAGACGGCCTCAAGAAGACTCCTCGCTCTCCGACCAGAAGCCGCTTCCGACACTACCCCGTATACCTGGCTTGAAGCTCCCCGCGCAGGCCATGGCTGACTTGCTGCAGGCCTACGAGTTCACATACACTTTCGGTGAAGCTCTTGGATTTGGTAAGTAGTTTGTAAAATTTATTTATATTACAGATTTGGTTGGAAAACAAACTGAGTTCTGCATGATGGTTAGCTGATGAGCTTACTGAATGAGCGCTCGTAATTTTTGGGAATTAGGGATTTGTAGATTGGCGAATTTAGGGATTGGGGCGGTAGATTAGTTATTATTATTTGTTGTGTGTGGCTACCTAGAAGTACCTAGAAGTGGCTCCTCAAGTATGAAGGGTACAAGACGTAGCAAAAAAAGAAAATAAACATTGTATTTTTTTTAATAATATTTACCAATGTGTATTTTTTCAAGTTAAACTAATATAAGCATTACTTTTCAAGCATATTTAGGTATCAAACAATCGCTGACGGCAAAAATTTCACAAAACCCTGGAATTTTAATTTAAAAAGAGCATGGTGATTATATTGCTCTAATCTCCTAAGTGGGAGAAGAGGCATTAAAAAAAAAACACTGCCCCACTTTAGGATTTTCTCCTGTGTCGTGGGTGCGTTTACAAAGATACAATTTCGCATACACATCACACCCAGACCCGGAACAACAACTTGTGGCCTTTGCTCAGCAGTGGGCACTTAGACGATGAAACTAAATATTGTTATTTTATATTGTATGTCTGTATGTATGTACGTGTGGGCAGGCCTCCCACTAGGTGGACCGACGACATCGTCAGAGTCGCGGGGAGCCAATGGATGCAGGTGGCAACTTGTCGTTCGACGTGGAGAGCCAAGGGGGAGGCCTTTGTCCAGCAGTGGACGTCTTCCGGCTGATGATGATGATGATGATGATGATGTATGTACGTTATTGTTTCAGACATGGAAACCATGCCAACACTGAACACGCTACAAATGGGTATACTCGGCGACTGCAGCGAAGAAACTGAGGAAGAATTCGTTCAAGTTGTCTCACAATTACTCATCATTGCCGTGGGTATGTATAACCACTTATCTATACTAATATTATAAAGAGGTAAACTTTGTATGTTTGTATGTTGGGGGTTTTTTTTTTTTTGTGAGGGGAAAATCATCAAATGACTTCTCCCGCCCAGGGCCGGGCAGGAGGGAGTGTCAGACTCTTACTGACTAAAAACCCCCCTGTTCCTTCTCCTGCTCTGTGCCGAGGTCGCGGTACCTTATTGCGCTTACCCCGCAACCCCGGCTGAACATCAGCCCTTTAGGGCCCCGTCTGTGGTGGTCTATTGGCTCTTTGAGGCGCGCGCGGAACGCTACGCGCCGTACTCTCGGGCCTGGTTCTGGTCGGGCGGCGAGCTGCCCTTACTCGCCGACCGCAGGCCCGTACTTACGGTGGCCGGAGATCGTCCCTCGATCCCCGACGCCCGTAGTGTCGCCAGTTGCGGCTGCTGGGGCGTGAGGAGGAGGATTGCTCCCTCACGCGGGCCGCCTCTCTCTTTGCGAGCATGACTGCTTCACAAAAGGAGGAGACGGCGTCCCAGTTCCTCTCACTCCGCACCATGGCCTCGACTAAGGCCGGGCGCGAGAGGTCGCCGCCGCCGATCACTTCCCTGAGGATACGGCGGTGCTCAGCCCAGGCAGGGCATACCGCTACCGTATGCTCCACCGTATCCTCTAGGTGGTCCTCACAATGACGACACTCGGGCGTTTCCTCCCGCTGAATCCGAAACAGGAACCTACCGAAGCTGCCGTGCCCGGTAAGCACCTGCGTCAGACGGAAGGTGAGGACGCCGTGGCGTCTCTCAAGCCACTCCTCAAAGAGGGGTCTTACCGCTGCTATGGTAGCGTGCCCGGCCCTCGGTTGCGACAGTCGTTGTCTCCACTCTGCCGTGAGATCTCGCCGGAGCTCATTCCGCCACGCACTAATTTGGCGCGGCAGAGGATCTTCGCCCCGGCGACGCGCGTCTGCGCGCAAACTGTAGACGCGCGCGAGCGCCTTCGCTTCTAGATCCCACGGCGGTGATCCGGCAAGGAGGTTCGCCGCCTCCCCGGAGATCGTGCGATACCCGCGGATTACTCGTATAGCCATGACCCTCTGGGACGCGACCAGCGTACGAGCCGGCCGCCGCTTCAAGTCCGGCGCCCACACAGGGGCACCGTAGAGGGCCATGGATCGCACAATCCCCATATACAACCTCCGGCAGGAGGCGTTTGGCCCCCCGAGGTTGGGAAGGAGCCGCTTGAGCGCGGCCCCAGACCGTTCCAACTTAGGGGCCAAACGACGAAAATGCTCCGTGAAGTTCCATCGGCTGTCGAGGACGAGACCCAGGTACTTCATCGCCGACTCGACGCCGATGGTAACTCCTCCTGCCGTTACTTGGGACCCACCTGGAGGTGGCGCGCTCCGACGGCCATAGAAGCACATGGCCTCGGAGTATGTTGGGGGTAATCTTTGGAACCGCTGGTCGGATTGCCAAAATTCTTTCATTGATATATAGCTACAATGTTCCTGAGTGCTATAGGTTATAAAACATCACGCTACGATCAAATAGAGCCGAGCAGGTGATACCCCGCGAGAGTAGCTAGTTAATAAATAAATAAATGAATTTACGCTTGTTAGTTATGATAGCAATCAAACGAATTTGAACTTACTGACAATCACGGTAAAGTTTATAATACTTTGAACGGCACGAATGTGGTCTTCGAAATATTCGCTTACAAGAACAAGAAGCGCTAGTAACGTAGAAATGTTCCTGAGACTGCAATGCGACAGACGAATTGATATCATAAAACCAATGCCATAAAGTTAAATACTGAATAAAAATTGACAGAAAAGACTCGACCTTACTAAAGTTTAACCATTTTTTTTCTCTTCCACAGAGGACCCGGGTATTCCACACCCGGGCAGACACACGACGTTACTAGGCCACGCTATCCGTATGGGTGACATCACACACCAGAACTTTAGTGAGGTGCTCAGGATATATCTTTACGCCAACGCAACTGGAGAGGTGAAAGCTTTGACAGGTAAACTTAAAAAAAAATATAAATTATTAAAAAAACCATTTACTTCCTTCGGTTGGTTATGGAAACTATTCGAGGATGCCCGATCAGTTTCGAGCCACATCGAGGCATGGATGGCTCATGGCCCATCATTATGTTGTACCATAAGTATAAGTTGTTAAGTGTGGGTGAGCCAAGCTTCGGCTCGACCGGAGTGATACCACGGCCTCACAGAATACCGGCGTGAAATAACCCACAGCGTTGTGACACCGTGTGAGTGAGGTTACCGGAGACCCAATCCCTCCCCTTCCCCTATCCCTTCCCAATCCTTATATCCGCGTCCCCTATCTGCAAAAGGCCGGCAACGCACTCGTAACTCCTTTGGTGTTGCGGGTGTCCATGGGCGGCGCCGATTGCTTACCATCAGGTAATGCGTCTGCTCGTTTGCCGACCTATCCCATAAAAATCAGATTATCGGTTTCGTACTCGAATGAAGTACTAATACACAAAGCCGAGTGTTCTAATAGTTACGTAATTAAGTTTTGAAGAAATGATACGACTCCAAGGATTATTGAAATAATGTAAATATTTCAATAATCCTTGGAGTAGTAGAAATAATGTAAATAGTGAATTTTAACTGTTTCATTACAATACTTTAATTTGCTTGAACAAATATTATTATGTTTTATTATTTATTTATTAAACACATTACATTGGAATTATGAAATATAAAAAGTGAGTCCCACAAAACTGTGTTCACAGTTTGACCGTTGAATCACTATAATTTTACTTATAACTCAACAACTTAAATTAGAAGTGTTCTGTTAAAATAATCTATAACCAATTAAGGGAGCTTTTCCAGTAGATATATAGAACTATATACTTAATATATTTATAATTTATGAATTACAATAACTTTATCAAATAAAATACGAAATTCAATAATAATCGTAAGAAATATAATAAACTGGGTAAAGTCAACTCCATATTTTTAACAACATTTTAAAAACGAATCTAAAATTGATTTTTTTTATAAAAAAAAAACTTATCTATCCCACAGGTTTAACAGCAGAAAGAGAGAGAGAGCGTCGCGTAGCGGACCACCACCAGACGGAAGCGGAAATGCAGCATACTTGCGCAAACTCTAAAAACTCCGCCTATTATGAACATCTACACAATAATGCTACATATAAACTGTCCGGTAAGATTTTGTATTACAACTCCTTCTAAATAGATTTAATTTTATTTACCATTACACCAAGACCCGGAACAACAATTGGGTAGTTTCCTAGGTCAAAAATAAATTATTTCGACGTTTCAATAGAATAAAATATTGAAAAATAACTATACTTTTATTCATCGATCGATCGATATACTAATGTTTAGATTTTTTTAGCTAATTATCAAGAAATAAGTGGGTGATTCTCCAAAAAACCTTAACTTTTATTTAACAAGTCATTATCCTCCCAGGTTTTTAAGCATCTTAGTAATTTATTTTATACAATATTTTTAATCGGTTGCTTGTAAGCAGTGGTGAGATTTAATTTAATAAAATAATTATCTGTGTTTTAATCAGCAGACTCGTTAATTTTCGGTTGAGGATAATGACATTATTAAATTTTTTTTAATTGATGTTAAGAATCACCCAAGTATGCTATTTGACGCAAAAAAGTTATGACGTCATAGCTCAGTTTTTCATACAAATTTCATAGAAAAGTATCGTTTTTGACGTTTGGATAAAAGTATTGAATTTGACTAGTTGGAAACTACCGTATTTGTATATCACACAAAGTGTTGTTCTCGGAACGAACCCGCGACACGTTGCACAGCCAGTTTCCTAGCAACTGCGCCAGCCGTTAAGTAGTTGTAACATCTTAATGCACTATGTGCTTAGTGCGCCCTCTTCTCATGCATAAGGGTGCAGGTTCGAAACCTAGAAAGTACCAATGTGACTTTTTCCGAGTTATATGTACTTTTTATGATTATTTAGACACCTCTGACATACGGTGAAGGTAAACATCGTGAAGAGACCTGGACTTATAATTTCTAAATATAAGTTTGAAATCGTCAACCCGCGTTGAGCAAGCGTGGTAATTAATGCTCTAACCTTCTCCGTGTGAGAAGAGGCCTCTGCTCAGTAGTAGGCAGTTATAGGCTGATGATGATGATGATGAATGCACTATGTTCTTGTAAATAAAATATGTTTTTTTTTTCTTTGTCACCCAACAGAGGAGCTTCGTGACAAAACGTTTACGGCTCTGAACGCAACCACGAAAGCACGCATATTCGCGTACATATGCGACGAGTTACTACAGAATAAGACGGTGCTCAGCAAAATAGATTCTTCACTCGAACATCTCACACAGCTGCGCAAAGAGAGATACCTCATGGATATGAAGATTCGGAAGTAAGTAGAATTTAATTCAGCCGATTAAATTTTATTTAAATTCATTATTTCAGACCAGAGATCTATTCAAAAGTATTTGTTATTTCTTATCCTTATAAGTAGACAGTAGTTAATATTTATCAATTATTGACATGGAAATCAGGACGCACATGTCTACTAGCCCAGTGTCTACATATAATAAACATGGCATTAATTTTCTCTGCCAGTATAACTAGTAAAACCTGTAAATATAGGTAGGGTGACTAGTAATTAGTGACCTATATTTAAACACGTGATTAAACCCATGATAATAAACTACTTTCGCAAAAAAACTTGTCGTATAATTAGACGTTAGTTTTATTTTTATTACAATAACAAAATTAATGATGCTCTTTAGTTCAACACGCGGGCACGCGGTGCCTCGCTGCTAAGTGCTTTACGGTAGGGTGTTTTCATAATTCAGAAATGATGGGTACTTTAAGTTCTTAAAAGATCTAGCATTACTTTTCCTGTAACCCTGTATATATTAAATCTAAACCTTGCGAACTATTCCTGGAACTAACTGCCAAATTCTTTGTTATTTAATGATAGGCGGGAAACGTGCTAACGGATTACCTGATTAAGCAATCGGGACTGCCCAACTTTAAAGTATTAACGAATGCGATGCTGACCTTTTGGACGTTATTTATTCGAGGGTTGGAGATTGAGGATGAGGATTGCACTTCGTCCTTTCTCGTCCTTTTTTTGTGAGGTCGTGGTATCACTCCGGTCGAAACGCCGAAGTATGGTTCTCCCACACTCAGAAAGGATTGTTATAGAACAAAATATTTCCTTGTCCCAGGGTCCGAGTTCTACAAGCCCGCAAAGCGCGCGCGGAACAAGCAGAGAGGTCGCAGGCGCTCGCGTTGGAGCGCATGCAGAGACTGGTCGATGATTCCACCAGGACTACAACGCCACCGCTACATGATGATGGTAAGTTTCTTTTTCGAGTTTCTTATGGTTCTGTGTGGGCGCCCTACACTAGATTTTTCTCTTGTGTACTGTGGGTAGGTGGGTAGGGTACTTTTACAAATATACCTAATTAAAATAACACATAGAAATGGTAAGTTCTTCTTAAAGTAACGTTGCCGTTTTTCCTGTGTCATGGGTAATTTAATAAACATACAATTTTCACATACATAATCCATCCAAGACTTAAAAGAAGAATTTGTAGATCACACACAGTGTTGATCGGCTCCCTACACTAGGATTTTATCCAGTGTGTGTGTACTTTTACAAATATACAAATTCACATAGGTACATAATCCATCCAAACTTAGAACAACAATTTGTGTGATCACATATTGTTAGGCCGTGGTTAGTCTGGGGTCAGTTGTGTGCTGAGGGTGTAAGTGGAGATCTGATGATGGATCTAGACACTGAAATGTATTTTTTTTACAAAAATATTATCATTAAAGTTTGATATAGACAGTCAGAGCAGGTGGTATTTAATGCTTATACCATAAAGTAAGCTTTTGCTCTGCTGTGATGATGTGCTAAAACATTCTTAGGGTGAAATAAAATTTGTATTGTAATGTTAGTCTTACTTAATCACATGTATAAAAATCTATGAAAACTTAATTATTGATCTTAAAAGAAAACCAGATAAAATAGGCATTCGTCCAACGAATTATATACCAATATAAAAACGAACTAATATCTTACAAACTATTATAAATGTATTCGTTTCCTAACCATCTTTTCCTTTCCCAGAAAACCAACAAACTCCTGAAAAGGACGAAACACCGAAAAAAGACAAGGAGTCCTCTCCACACCCCGAGAGCGAGACAGACAAACATTCAGAACCGTCTCCCTATAAGGAACCGCCTCCCACTGAAGAGAGCGACAAGGAATTATCGCCGTTAAAAGATCTTTCCAACAATATGAAGAACAAAGAGATGATGAACAACAATAAGGACGAATGTTCCCTGGCTGATAACTCTAAGATAGATAAGGATAGCATGATTGGGGATTGTGATGCGAATTTGAGTGATTTGGAGAGTGAAGGGACGCAACCTGAGGAGGTGAGTTTTCAACTATTATGACATTAGAACTGAACAAAACACAATTAGTTTCTGAGGCCAGGCTTGGAGCAGAAATTTGACCGGTTTTAGCCTAAATGGTGGTGATCCGGAAGCTAAGGCGCCTGTTTCTCATGTTTGAGCATTTGAATACAATGTGGCTCATTCCGAGTTATTACGAGATAAATACTTAGTAAGTTTTTTAGGCCATCACTGACAAACTGAATGCAAAATTTTGTAAGGAAACCTGGACTTGTAATTGCCTATCGCCCTCGAGCAAGCATTTGAAATCTTCTCCGTGTGGGGAAAGGCCTTAGCTCAGTAAGCACTTATAGGGTGATGACGTGTGATGTATGGATTTTAGTCAGTAAGAGTCGTCCAACCCAAAGTAGGAGGAGCAATTTTCTGTATTATCCGATTTAAATAACCATAGCTTGACTCTAACAGTTAGTTCTAAAGATATTCTTACTCCTCTCAATAACCTGATACCTTCTTCAATATTCAGGATGAAGACAAGAACCTATCTTCGGAGGAACTAGCTCGCAAGCTGGACAAGCTGCTGAAGCAGTCCGAACAACAGCTGTTGCAGCTTACTGCAGCTTCACATGCACTCAGGGCCACTTGCTTCGGACAGGACAGGTTAATATCATTCTACATTTTATTTTATAAATTGATTAATAAATCTTTATTTTGGTCGATACAAGCAATAATGACCCTTATTCATTGTGAAATCTACTAAATTTTGTGTTATAATTGATGGAAAGCAATCGACGCCGCCTATTTTGTCACCAATTGTGTTGCCAGCCTAAGCGGGTTTTTAAAGACATGAAGATTGGGGATTTGAAATTGACATCTGATAACGTCACTGATACAAAAAATAAAACCATCTCCGTTGTGAGCTGCACATTTTTTTATGTGAGGCTCGGCAAACGAGCTGACGGATTACTGTAACAACAGATTTTTTGTGGATTAGGATTATGGAGATTTAGGGATTGGGCAGTGAAACATAAGGCTATGTTTATATCACGCCGGTATTCTGTGAGGCCGTGGTATAACTGTTTTCGGGCCAGCCCATTAGTGCCGACGCACGACTCTTACATTTAAATTCTCCGTTTAGATTTTTATAAAATAATTACTTTATCGTTCTTATAGATATTGGCGTCGTTACTGGTCTCTGGGTAAATGCGGTGGTATATTCGTGGAAGGTATGGAGTCTGCACAGCCGGAGATCATGGCTTACCATCAGCAATTGGAAAATAACGCGCTCAACGGCAGCTGTCCGACTGATGGGAACAAGAAGAAGAAGAAAGGTGAGAGAGATAGCGAGCCCCTAGCTTCAATGACGAACAGACTGACAGACTACTTCTCTATTTTGACGTTTCAAAAGTACCTGTTTATGGTTTAGTTGGAATAAATGATTTTTTTTTATTTTTTTGATAGAGATGGAATGTAATTGAGTTTATATCTAAAATTAATATAGTTGTTGGTTTTGTAGGTGTTATTAAAAAAAACGACGCTAAAGTATATATTTCTAAAAATGTATAATATTGAATCTTCTGTCATCTAACAATGTTTCTGGCGCTAAAACTTAACGCTAATTGCGCAAAAATAATGCATCAATATTAGATTTCAAATCGCTTAAATTTTTTCTTGTGTAACGTGGATACCTACTTTGGTAATTTCTTTACATAGGCCAGATGATGCCTAATGCGGGAGAAATCAACACAAACAAACAATATTATTTACAAATATCCCATCATAAATTAATTCGTATTTCACAACAACAGGTACTCGAGAAAAGAAAGAATCGCCAACTTCTGACGCAGAGAAGCGTGATCCAGAGACAGAAGCGCAGAAGAAGGAAGAAGCTCTAAAGAGTGAGATGGAACTGAAAAGTATTAAATCGGAATTGAACCTGAGTGACCACACACAGATTATCAAATACGAGCCGAATGTTAAACACGGCGCTTGTAAAGTTGAAGGTTGGTAGATATTATTATTATTTTTTTTGACGTTCAAAAGTGTCTTTAAGGGACTAATTAAGATAAACGATTTTCACTTTGACTTTGCTTCCATTCACGGCATTAAGGTCTTGGGACTAGGGTCCCGAACCTTTGGAGGGCGTACGAGGGGCGGAAGCCAACTCACATAGGCCCTTTGAACAATTTAATATCAGTGAAATGGGATGTCAATTTATTTATCTCTGTATGCACTATGGAAGTTTTTATTATTATTTTGTTATTTAGGGGCCTTTAAATTTTGTTAGCCACAATTGTATTCTGTGGTTCATTTCCGTAATATTTCATTTATTTAAAAATCGATTTGTTTGTTTTTTCGAAATAGTGTCCAAACTTTTGTGGATTAATAATAGATAATGTTACTCTGAAGTTCAAAAGAAGTAGTCCTAAAATAACCCTTTCTTGAGGACCTCAACATAAAACTTCATTAGACAATTACTTTAAAATAACGCACTTAAATCCAAACAACTTTAAAACTAATCAATCTCAATTCTTCTCCCACCAGGTTCGTCAATAAAAATGGAAGAAAAATACATTCAACAGAAGAACAACGACGAACAGGACATGCTAGACATTGAGGATTCAATACCAACCGCATTCTTGGTGCAGAAACCCACTCACAAACCAATGTTCGCGGCCCAAGCTGAACAGATGGATAAACCCCAAGAAATCGTCAAAGTAGAGAACGTAGTCAAAAACGAAAATGAGAATGAGACCGCAGAAGAATCGAAAGACTCTCTTGTTAATAACTTAGAAGAATTAAGAAAAATGGCCGAAGCCGTCTCCATACAACTCGACGCGGCGAAAAAAGAACAAGAAATTAAAGAAGAGAAAGAGAAAGTAAAAAAAGAGGCCCAAGATCCTAATTCGGCGCATCTACAATTGTACTCGAAGATGCTAGATGGGAAATGGTTCTCAATATTACGGCACGAGAGTTCTTTTTTGAATAACATTAACGATGAGAAACAGGATTTGCCTGAGTTTTGCGATAATGAACATACGTGTTCGGAGATCATTATGTGTCAAGGCCATAAGTGGGATGTGTCGAACAATTTGCATTTATTAAACGATCCAAGTCTCTTTACTCTTAATAGTATGGTGACCAGTGTACAAGTCCCTTCGAACAATGTTTATGCGGATTCCAGCCTTACGATGTCTGGTCTAGACCAAGATTTGATTGATAATAGCTTCAACAAAGATGGCGGCGTACAAGAGGCTGAAGTTGAAGAGGATAATAAGGAACAGGTTAGTTTTTTAATTGACTTAAAAATGAGGGTAGAATTTTGATTTGTATGTATGTTTGTTCGCGATTTACTCACGATCGGATCAACCGTTTGTGTTACGGTTTTCTGAAAAGTATTCGTTACATTAAGGAGCAGGATTTTTTAACGTCTTTAGACTTCTAGCTTTCAGTGAGGTTTAATAACAAACGGTGGCAAATAAGCAGATGAATTACCTGATGGTAAGCAATTAGAGCCACCTAGAGTCCCATGTGTTTGGAGCGATGGTAGGTTGAGCATCTGGTGACTTTATTCTCACCTCGAAATAACGTAAGTATAGGTTTACCCCTTATGTAAAAGGTTTTTTCAATATTTTGTCGATATGACGACCATGTATTTTGCAAAATCGAAAAGACACTTTTATAATAGTGCACTGTTAGTTGTCTTTAGAGCGACTGTTGGATGGCAGGGATCTAGAGAAAAAAAACTAGTCCGTTCGGAAATTCTCAATAATTGTACAAATTAAAAACAAATTCATTTCTTAACAGGACAACGACTTAGAAAAGGAATTGCAAGCGGATGCCTTAAAGCAGGACATGTTAACACAAAAGGCTAAAGCCAATAGCCTAAATAGCCTCGGTCTATTGAACTTCAATGCGTTGTCAACGTACGTGACTTGCGATAGCCCGCCCCCCATACAGATGTCTGCTGAGGAATTGGATCAGTTGGAATACTGTAAGGTGCATGGACTACCCAAGAAGATTGAAGGAAATTATGTACCCAAGGAACTGAGGTGAGATATAAATAAATAATTCTTTTAAATGGTTTATGGACATTATACATGTAGACTTTGTTATCTTCTTCATGTATATAGTTCTGTAGACATTTGATGCAGAAATAATTAATGGTTAAATGCTATAAAGGTCAAATCACATCATCAGCTTATGAGTGTCCATTGCTGAGTAAAATCCTCTTTTTTTCAAAATCAAATAAAAATATTTATTTACAAGAAATACATATGTCCCCTTATTACAAAACAAATTTTATCTTTAGTCCAGGTTTAAACCATTGAGTCGGGTTTTGAATTTTGAATCTTATTGTCATCTACCTTCAATTCGGAATACAAAAACTGACTCAATGGTTTAGTCCTAGACTAAAGTAAAACCTTGTTTTGTAATAAGGCCGATGTAGTTGTAAAGAGAGATCTTATACTTAACTCAAAAGTCACTGTATTCTGCCTGAAAGCAACCGTGTTATGTTTGTTGGTTTGGTATTGAGATAGATTTATAATCTACGATAACACATATGCTATTTTTCGCCCTGTTCATCGTTTATTGTATGTAAAGTTTTTTATGTCATTGGACTGCAAACGAGCAGACGGGTTACCTGATGGTAAGCAATCAGCGCCAGTCATGGAAACCCACAACAACGGAAGAGTTACGAGTGCGTTGCCGACCTTTTGAGAATTAGGGTTTTGGGGATTTAGGGATTGGAGTACCTAGAAAAAGGATTGGGTTTTCCGTAACCTCTCTCACACGGTGAAACACAACGCTGTAGTTGTTTCACGCCGGTATTCTGTGAGGCCGTGGTATCACTCCGGTCGAGCCGACCCATTCGTGCCGAAGCTTGGCTCTCCCACACTTGGTAGTGCCGAGAGTGTATATAGAATGTCGTGTCCCCAGACACGGATGGTGGCGCATCACGTCCGCGGAGCAGGTGTCGGCGCTGCTGGGGGCGCTGCACCCGCGCGGCGTCCGCGAGCGGGAACTGCATGCAGCGCTGCTCGCGCAACTACCTCTGCTCAACAACAAGGTCTTTATCTTTATTTTATTCATTTTATTCAACAACGTACATCTATATCTATACTAATATTATAAAGAGGTAACATTTTTAAGTTTGTATGTAGGGGGTAATCTTTGGAACCGCGAGTCGGATTGCCAAAATTCTTTCACTGGTAGATAGCTATAATGTTCCTGAGTGCTATATATAGGCTATAAAACATCACGCTACAAACAAATGGAGTTCAGCAGCGGGTGAAACCGCGCAAGAGTAGCCAGATTTCAATAAACTTATCTTACTGTTAAAAAAACACACAACAACTTGCTCCGTGCTAGAATCGAATTCGCAACACGTTGCGGCAGTCAACTGTGTCTACTCCTTTGTTACATACATACATACATATTTATATCCTCAGTACAACTGAAGCCAATATATAATGACCTCTTTATATGATCATTTCAATAATCATCACTATACAGTAATGTAGATTTGTGGAAAGAAAGCGCCTTTGTTTTATACTCAAAACAAAGGCGCTTTCTTTGCCCCTATATCCCCATGTATGCTAAAATCTTGAAAACTACGCAACCGATTTTGATGAGGTTTTTTAATAGATACAATGAAGAGGAAAGTTTATAATTATGTTTGATATCCATCCATTAAATGGAACCGGTCACTAGTTAAATATATTAGGCGGTTACATTTAGAATTTTATACTAACTTTTTTTATCCATTTGTCTACAGCCGTACATAGACAAGGGTGACATTATAGCCACAGAGCTGTGCGTGTCGCATCTAGACCGTGTCATTGCAATGAACGGAGGGTATGCGACGGACACCAGTTTCTCCGCCGCCACGCAACGGAAAGTCGACATGCAGTTGCTGAGTATGGTAAGATTTTAATAATAATAATTAATCTTTTTTTAATTTTTCCCAAAGGCCTATGATAAGGCTGTATGCTATGAACCTTGATATGTTAACAGTTATTAAAATGGACATGCAATTTTTACAAAAAAAACGATTTCGATCCGATTCAAAAATCGAGTGTAATTTTGGTACGGAATCTTGTTTGCGATCCTAACTCGCATGTGGCTGGTTTATTGAAAGAAATTTGGAAAGATTTGAAAGTCACAAGCCTCGCGAACGGGGGTCGAAACGGAACGGGGGAACGGGGGTGTATCTTTTTATGTTGAAAATATGTAAAGTTGATTTTTGAGTCGTCTTTTAAAGAGGGAACACAGCGTTGCTTCTTGTCTGAAATTAACTTAAATTTGTTTATTTGTTTGTTTGGGAAACTCAACACTTTATTAAGTACGTTACAAGAATTAAGAATGCACATCACACTATCTCAAAGCATTTGCATGAAAGCGAATAGCTAAAGATACACAAACCTCAATTTTGGTAATTGCAGGTGGAACAACTAGAAGAACGAGTGGCGGCGGCGTCGATGCAGGTGAAGGGATGGCGGCCGACGCGGGCGACGGCCGACGCCGCGCCCAGCGAGCCCGTCGCTCGCGCCAAGCACAAGCTACAGGTCTTGGAGGCCCACATCGAACGGAGGTACCTCAAACCTCCGTTCGTGCAAAGGTACGCTAGGTAAAGTATACCCATCACATACTCGTGTCTTAGCTGGCTTTTTTGGTCTTTTAGAGGTGAGTTATGAGGGTTTTTGGCGGTTGTAGATGGCGCTAGTGATGTTAATGGTCTTGTTGGACTAATTTTATTATTTACTGTATTTAGGCTGCGATTGAAAGTTCAATTTAAAGAATAAATATGTTATTATTGTAAAATATAAACACATAGACAATAAGATACCTTTTTTGCGGTGTTGGTAAATTTTCCTCCATCACTATAGAACACAAAGATTCAATAAAAAAAAAACGAAAAATCTTAGGAGTTAATTTCCCTTAATAAAAATTTCTGCACCTACCACTTTCAGATAAGCGCTATCACTTATACATACACACTTAAGTTCCTAACTAAAGATTTTTTTTATAGATTATACTTATAAATAAAACTTGTAGAAAAAACAATCTAGCTTAGCTAGTGTTCTAATAAATCAAAGGAAAAAGTTTACTTGGTTTCCTCCTATACCTAGAGATATCAAAGACCTTATGCAGCACTAGCGCCTCTACCGACACGAGAAAACCCTCATTGCTTTATTTGTTTGCACGGGACGGTGACGGGTTATATAATAATAATAATAATTTTGTGAATTTATTTTCACATATTTATTCAATTTTACTCTAAAATTACATTATTAAATATTACTATAAAATTATATTAATTCTACGATTTAATATTGTGTTCTATTGTCAAACGCGATATTCTAAGGCGAATTGTTATTCGAGTTTGAGAAAAATATTCTGTAAATTCGGTGCGACTAATCGGTTTATGCTGTTTCATTATAATTATCGTCGCGGGTCCGATTCCCCCACAGATCAACTCTGTGTGATCCACAAATTGTTGTACTGTATAAGTGAAATTGTATGTTTGTAAATGCATCCGTGACACAGGAGAACATCCTTTTTTAAGTATACACTTAATAGCATTATTATCCCCCATATTAAAGCAACACTATTGTAAACTACCTTTCCGTCAACATACTTGTAATAACTCCTTTGGAGTGATGAGTGTCCATGGGCGGCGCTGATTGCTTACCATCAGGTAATCCGTCTGCTCGTTTGCCGATGGACATAAAAAAATCTTTCTCGCGATGTTTTACGATCTGACTAAGGGAGCAGCGCTTTCTGATATACCCGAAAGTTAAGAAGGTTCAAATATATTCTTATTTACCCGAAAAGGAACAAAAAACACTGAAATTATTATATTATTAAATTGGTGGTGGATTTGATATTTGGATACGAAAATGCACGCATGAATTGGATGTTTGGCTTTCAAAATTGATTTTGATTTGTTTTTTTCTATGTTTTATAATTGGCTGATTACTTACTAAGTATATGTTTTTTGTTTCAAAATTGTTCTTAAACGAATCCAAATTACAACGTGTCTAAATAGTGTCGTCCCTTGAAATAGAAAAGTGTTCTTATCATGATGTCTTAATAAAAAGTTTATTTTTTTTTCTCAAAATTTCTCTTTTAAAAATGATTATATTCTGAAAAGACACGAGATGTGTTGGAATTTTTATTACGTCATCAACTTATCTATACAGAGCAATTGCATTTTTTTACAAATTAATTAAAATCAAATTACTATACCTATTATGTTCGTGGAGTTTAAATAAATAAAATACAATATATTATATATGATTACTATAACATCGATGGACAAAACTGTGGGCAAAAAGGTACAAGATTTTTGTTTAAGTCAGGAAAATCACCAATTGATTTATGCTGCTACAAGTGGTGCGAAAGCGAGGGTCAGTCTCTTACTGACTAATATAAATACCTCGTTCTTTCTTCTAGCCTTCTACTGAACTGGAAGCGTAGATACATTTTTACGCTTACACCTGCAACCTGCAATTTTACAGCAATACCCCATTGCATAGGACTCATAACAAAACTGTTGAAAGGAAAAATTAAAGACAAATTTCAATTAACAAAAGACCTTCCGCCTCACGGGATAAAACATAAAATTAAATATTACACAACCTAAAATAACACGCAAAAACATAGATAAGTTGATGACGAATTTTGTTCAAAATTTAATTGTCAAAATCTCTAAACAATTAACACCCGGTTTCCGAAAAGCCGATCAATGTTAAAATCAATTTAATCTCTTGTCAAGTCATCTGATTGGTTGACTGAATTATCAACAACCAATCAGATGACTTGACAAGAGATTTAACAGGAGATTAGTTAATTTTAGAGTTGACAAGCCTTTCAGAAACCGGGTGTAAGAGTTGCTTGGTATAAATGTAACCAATTATTCTCTTCTTGTTGGCTCAGTACGACGGAGGCTACATTAGGCGCAGTTTTACAAGCTGAGCATGGCAACGCGTCCGCACCTTCGCCGCAGAACGCTGATGGAGGGAGCGAGGGGAAAGGTAAGCTGTGTAGTAAATAAACCAATTGATATTAGAATTTAATAGTGTTTAGGTACATAAAACTCTTGTTTTTTTGCTAAAAGTGTTTATACATTATCAGCCTATAAGTGGGCACTTATACACACTCCTGATCAAAAACTTTTTCTCCCACGTAGAAGGTTTGAGCATTAATCACCATGCTTGTATAAAGTGGATTGGCGATTTCAAACTTATAATTAGTAATTATAAGTCTAGCTAGTCTAGCATTGCTCACGATGTTTTTCTTCACCGTATGTCAGTGGTGTCTAAATAATCAGGGAAAGTAAATGTATATAATTCGGAAAAAGTCACAGTACTTGTCAGGTTTCGAAACCGCATCCTTATGAATGAGAAGCGGGCGCCTTAACCTCTGGGCCACTACGAAATATTTAAAACAAGTTTTCATAGCACTTATAAATCACTTTTTCGTGACATTTGTTGCTTAATTTTTTTTTTTCATCTTTTTCTATATTTGCTGAATTTACACTTTTTAAATAGGTAACGAAAAACTATTTAATTTTATGGTGCCGTTGGAATAAATGATTTTATATTATTCCGTTTATTTAATTTATGTTTTGTGGGGTTGTCATACGACGATTACCAAACTTCTGTTACAATTTCCTCATCTAGTAAATATACTACTATTGAAAATCGAGCTAAAATACAAAAACAAAAAAATTGCGATAAAAGATTTAACTGAAGACGAACTTGTCCACAGCTGTCTAGCCATAGTAAAACCATGTTGTCGCAGTAAAATTAAGAAACATAGTAACAATATTGGCACAGTTTGCCGGCTGCAGTCTTGCCGTCCGAATACAATTTAGGTGTCTTCAAGGCTACAGTGAATAGGTTCTTAATAAACTAGTGGGCCTTACCATCAACGATTGCATCACTGATTACCACCAGGTGGGATCGCAGTCAAGCACTAGTTTAAGTAATATATAAAAAAAAAAAACAAAATACTCACACACAATTTTTTCTTTTCAAAATCTCTCCAGTGGACAACAAAGGAATAGCTCGTGGTCTAGCCAACTGGCGCGAAGCACTGAGTCGCTGTACCACATCAGCTCAACTAGCCATGATGCTGCAGGCCTTGGAAGCAGCCATAGCCTGGGACAAGAGCATCATGAAGGCGGTACGTATGAGACATGTACGTTTTAGCTTTATTCTGTATGTTTTTGTGTGTGTGTGTGTGTTTTTACGGAATAAGTCTGCAAACGAGCAGACCTGATGGTAAGCAATCCGGGCCGCCATTAACACCCGCAACACCAAAGGATTACGAGTGCGTTGCCGGCCTTTTGGGGATAAGGGTTGTGGATATAAGGATTGGGAAAGGATAGGGGAGGGGGAGGGATTGGGTCTCCGGTAACCTCACTCACACGGCGAAACACAACGCTGTGGTTGTTTCACGGCAGAAAATCTGTAATGAGGTTTTATACTATTTCGGGAATTAAGAAGTTCTAATGTTAAGTCTGGTCATAGTTTATGACCCAAAAATTGTGCTCCCTTCGTACGTAAGTGTTGACTTTAAATACCTTCTAGATAAATTTATTGAAAGTAACGACTTACTCACGTGAATTAACTGAGAAAAGCCCTAGTAGTTTCAAGTCTTTTTCTATTATGTAATAGGTCTGCAAACGAGCAGACGGATTACCTGATGGTAAGCAATCAGCGCCGCCCATGGACACTCGCAACGGAGGATTTACGAGTGCGTTGCCGACCTTTTAGAGATTTAGGGATTGGGAGGGATCGGGAGAGGGGAAGGATTGGGCCTCCGGTAACCTCACTCACACGGCGAAACACAGCGCTGTGGTTGTTTCACGCCGGTTTTCTGTGAGGCCGTGGTATCACTCCGGTCGAGCCGAAGATTCCATTCGTGCCGAAGTGTGGCTCTCCCACACTTAACTAAACGTTAAAGTCACAACTTCCGTCGCCGTCACTTCATGTGCGCTAGTGGTATAGTTTAATATTATGTAATATATATTTATATATTTATAGTATTTTTAAGTTTTCCATTGTTTATGATTACAGTATTGTATATGTTTATATGGGCCTTTGATGCCTGAAATAAATGGATAAATAAATAAAATAATTAAAAAACAACTGAGCCCACGCGTCGGGACGCTGCTCATGAATAAAGGTCCCGTTGTGACCTGAAACTAGAAGAGCATTATCCACTTAATCACATAATTAAGTCGTTATTATGAATTAATTTAGTATCTCTCACTATAATTAATAACACTTACCTTCTAAACAAATAACAACAATTCCATATAATAATTCGACATTGATATATCCTTTCTGCAGAATTGTCAGTTCTGTCTTTGCGGTGACAATGAGGACCAACTTCTGTTGTGCGATGGGTGCGACAAAGGATATCACACTTACTGCTTCAAGCCAAGCATGGATAAAATACCTGACGGAGACTGGTAAGTAGAATTTGTTTTGGTCGGCTTCCTGTTATCTGATGGCAAGCAATTGGCATTGACACCATTGCCTATAGAGGAGTCTGCCTGCTTGTAGGGGATCGGAAATAATAAGGTGATTTAGTCAAAGTAAAAATCAACGCACTATCAATCTTTAAATAGACATTTTTCATATGTATTATGTCTGAATTGAAAAATCATCATTGATGATTTTCTCCTTCAAAAAGGAAAACAAGAAAATCTATCAGGAAATAACCTTAACAAGCTCCATGTTTGGATGAAATAGTTACCGTGATCTATAATTCTATTATAAAGACGTAAAATTTGTAAGTTTGTATGTAAAGGGTAATCTTTGGAACCGCTGGTCGGATTGCCAAAATTCTTTCACTGATTAGCTACAATGTTCCTGAGTGCTATAGACTATAATATCACGCTACGATCAAATGGAGCTGAGAGTAGCTAGTATTGAATAAAATACTATTATGAGTGAATGTATTAAAGCACCTGGTATCTGCAGGTACTGCTGGGAGTGCATCAACAAGGCGCGCGGCGAGCGAGTCTGCATCGTCTGCGGCGGACGCGCCCACGGCGCCGCGCGGACCATACCCTGCGCACTCTGCGCGCGCGCATACCATCAGGACTGCCACTACCCCCCGCTACTCAAGGTACCACTATACTACTGCGGACCATCCCCTGCGCACTCTGCGCGCGCGCATACCATCAGGACTGCCACTACCCCCCGCTACTCAAGGTACCACTATACTACTGCGGACCATACCCTGCGCACTCTGCGCGCGCGCATACCATCAGGACTGCCACTACCCCCCGCTACTCAAGGTACCACTATACTACTGCGGACCATCCCCTGCGCACTCTGCGCGCGCGCATACCATCAGGACTGCCACTACCCCCCGCTACTCAAGGTACCACTATACTACTGCGGACCATACCCTGCGCACTCTGCGCGCGCGCATACCATCAGGACTGCCACTACCCCCCGCTACTCAAGGTACCACTATACTACTGCGGACCATCCCCTGCGCACTCTGCGCGCGCGCATACCATCAGGACTGCCACTACCCCCCGCTACTCAAGGTACCACTATACTACTGCGGACCATACCCTGCGCACTCTGCGCGCGCGCATACCATCAGGACTGCCACTACCCCCCGCTACTCAAGGTACCACTATACTACTGCGGACCATACCCTGCGCACTCTGCGCGCGCGCATACCATCAGGACTGCCACTACCCCCCGCTACTCAAGGTACCACTATACTACTGCGGACCATACCCTGCGCACTCTGCGCGCGCGCATACCATCAGGACTGCCACTACCCCCCGCTACTCAAGGTACCACTATACTACTGCGGACCATCCCCTGCGCACTCTGCGCGCGCGCATACCATCAGGACTGCCACTACCCCCCGCTACTCAAGGTACCACTATACTACTGCGGACCATACCCTGCGCACTCTGCGCGCGCGCATACCATCAGGACTGCCACTACCCCCCGCTACTCAAGGTACCACTATACTACTGCGGACCATACCCTGCGCACTCTGCGCGCGCGCATACCATCAGGACTGCCACTACCCCCCGCTACTGCTATAATATCGTTATCGTCCCACTGCAGGGCAAATGCCTCCCTACTTTTCTTCCACTCCTCTCTACGCAAAGGCCAATCCTCGTCGAAGACTTCAAGCTCGTCCCGCCATCGCCTCCTGGGCCTTCCTCGGTTACTCTTAGCGTTGTGTGGGCTACTACCCACCTGTCTCACACATTTACATTTCCACATCATCAGCCTATAAGAGCCCCCAAAGACCGAGAAACAATCCCTGGCCACCTTAAACGCGGTTGGCAAGGTAAGGGTAGGGCGCGCGCCTCAAAGAGCCAATAGACCACCTCAGACGGGGCCCTATAGGGCTGGTGTTCAACCGAGGTTTAGGGGCAAGCGCTTTGAGTCACTGAGGTCTCGGCCCCCAAAAATAAATTGTTTTCATTTATGAATTTTTAACATACAATCATACTTTCAGTCGATTAATTTGACAATATACTAAAGTAAACATTTCAAAAATATGTATGCTATATAACATAAAAATGTTTTGACTCCGTACAAAATTCATTTCTATTTCATAATAGAAAAGAATAGTTTTGAAATTTCAATAAAAAAATATCATTCCCTCAAAACATACACTATAACCACACCTTGAATGACTTTTACCTAGATATACCCTTCTAAAAATGCACTAAAACTAGATAAAGCAAAAATTCCTCAAAAAAAAAATTCTTAATAATTAAATCTTTAATTATTTCCTTCCAGAATCCCCGTGGCAAATGGTACTGCTCTCAATGCATATCCAAAGCCCCGCCCAAGAAACCGCGCAACACTAAGAAACGCGACGCCAAGCATAGAGACCTGAACACTAGTCTAGATATAGACCAGAATATGGTGCCTAGGTATGTTCAATTTATTAAAAAGAACTTTATTTTTATGTGCTTAGAATCTATTTTTTTTACGCAAAATAAGTAAATATGTGAAGTCCATACTAATATTATATAGAGGTAAGTTTGTATGTAGGGGAAATCTGTGGAACCGCTGGTCGGATTTCCAAAATTTTTCCACTGATAGATAGCTACAATTTTCCTGAGTGCTGTAAAATAACGCACTACAATCAAATGGGGCCAAGCAGCGATTGAAACCGCGCGATAGCAGCTAGTCAATTATAAATCATTATAAAAATGAATAATTGATAATGTCTCAATTCTTAAGTACGAAATCTGACCTTTCTTTCTCTCGATACAGCCCGGCCGCGTCCCACGCGTCGACATCGACGACGGCGGAGGAATGTTCCGGCAGCGCTCTACACACGCCGGAGAAACATGATGACAAATTGGAAGATACCATACAGGATAATGAGAATGGAATCAACCATGCTGGTCAGTTACTTGATGGGATTATTTTTTACTCATTCTCACACATTACATCATTTTTTTACATTGTCAGGTCTTAAATTTATCAAACCCCAAGCGAACGCGTTTGCGATACTATTGTTTTTCTATTGTGTCTTAAATTACCACGATTTAAAGGTTAAAAAAGACGGTCCTAAGATTAACTAAAAATCGCGGGTTTCTCAGGTGTATATATTGAGGAAAGCTCTACTAGTTTGTGGACTGTTTCCTCTGTGGTTCGAAACAAGTAGAGCTTTTCTCAATATAGACGTGAGTAACGCGCGATTTTTTAGTTAATTTAGTATGTCTCACGATAGTTATTATTATTATAAAAACGGTCCTATGAGTTTGATTCAGCATTTTTGTCAGAGTAGTTAGATGAGAGAAGAAATGCTGGCTTCATCTAGTTTTTTATTTATAAGGTTGACGTGTTAAAGTGCAGTTTTATGGACTACTTACAAAAATATATTCTTTGTTTCATTGTTTCAATTGCGTTTGGATTATAAGAAAGATTTTATAGAAACTTAATTATTCCCGAAACGATACAGCTCTGAAACTTACAAGAAAAGAGCGTACTTCTCCTTAAAAGCTCGGTTATTATTCAAACGACCTTCATTAGAGTAATTTTTAGACACCCGAAACATCAGAGGAGTTGTAAGTGCATTGCTGATCGTTTAGGGGTAGTTAGGTTTTTGAGAATTGGGGATTGGGGAAGGGGAGGGTAACTAAGCTTCAGGTAGAATTAAATTATGCAATCAGCGCTCTGTATTTATCACCAGCCGGCCCAAGCATAGCTCTCTCACTTAAGTTTAATGTTTGTATGTACACAGGCGAGCTGAGTTCAGAAGAGGGTCCTCCGGAGAAGCGTCGCGCCGTGCACTACGTCGGCGGGAACGGGGCGCTGCAACACGACGATACAGACGCGCATATTGACGGTACGTAAACCTTTACTACATAGTATACCATCACCTACCTTCACTGACGAACAGACTGACAGACTACTATTCTATTTTAACGTTTCAAAAGTACCTATTTATAGTTTAGTTGGAATAAATGATTTTGATTTGATATAAAACAAAGTCGCTTTCTCTGTCCCTAACTACGCAACGGATTTTGATGCGGTTTTTTAATAGATAGAGTGATTGAAGATGAACTTTTATAATTTATATGTTTAATAACATACATTAAATAATGGAGAAATTTAGTAAGTAACTGGTGGAGGTAATTGTAATCTGTAATGTGGTAATCTTTAGAACTTCTGGTCGGATTTCGTAAATTCTTTTACTGATAAATAGCTACAATGTTCCTGAGAGCTATTAATTATACTTGATTTGCTGTTTTTATAAATCCCGGGGTACATTACTTGTACACTAGTGTGCAGCCGAAGGCGGAAGCTAATATAATATAATTCGCATTAAAGTGTGTCTGTTTGACGCGCTAATTACTAGAACTACTGTTTAGAATTGAACTATTCATTTTATTTTGGATAATGCATTTATCAAGGAATGCAATCTTACTAATATTATAAATGCGAAATTTACAATGTTTGGATGTCTGTTACTCAATTACGCCAAAACGGCTTTACGGATCTGGATGAAATTTAGCACGGGCATAGGATACACCCCGGAATAGGAAATAGGCTACTTTTTATCAACATACCAAGCGGGCAAAGCCGCAGGCGGAAGCTAGTAGGCTATATAACATCACGGTACATCTAATAGGCGCCGAGCAGCTAAGTGAAGTAGCTCGTATTAAATATAATGTTTTTTCTAGGTGAGGATCGAGACACAGAAAATGTACCGTTGATGTCACGCGCCAAGAAGGAGAAGAATTCTGCTAAGAAACTTCTCAAAGATCTACAGTTCTGCAAGTAAGTTATAAATTCTTACTATTCTGTTCGGAGCAGAAATTGAGACGTATTTAGTTTTAGTCAGTAAGAGTCTGACTCTCTCTTACTCTGATCCAGACGTAGACGAGGTCCTATAGGGCTGATGTTCAGCCGAGGGTGCGGGGTAAGCGCAATAAGGTACAGCGGCCTCGGCCTAGAGCAGGAGAAGGAACGGGGAGGTTTTTAGTCAGTAAAAGTCTGGCACTCCCTCTCTTCCTAACCTTAGCGGGAGTAGTCATTTGATGATTTTCCTCTCACAAAAATCACCCATTCCCGAAGTAGTGAGCTGACTTTTTTATGGGATAAGTCGGCGCCGCCTATGGGCCCCCACAACATAAAGGAGACGAGTGCGTTGCCGGCGTTTTGGGGATAAGGGTTGCGGATATTTAAGGACTGGGAAGGGATAGGGGAGGGGAAAGGATTGAACCTCCGATAACCTCACTCACACGGCGAAACATAACGCTGTGGTTGTTTCACGCCGGTTCTCTGTGAGGCCGTGGTATCAATCGGTCGAGCCGACCCATTCGTGCCGAAGCATGGCTCTCCCATACTTCCGAAATCGGTCACTGTTTCACGTCGTGTGAAGAACTATGTATGTCGTCTAGTGAAGAATGAAGCCTCTAGGAACGATAATTCGACTGCACGGTTGGCGCGGTGGCTAGGCAACTGGCTGCCGCGCAACGTATCGCGGGTTCGATTCCCGCACGGACCAACTCTTTGTGTGATCCACTGATTGTTGTTCCGGGTCTGGGTGTGATGTGTATGTGATATTGTATGTTTGTAAACGCACCCACGGACACAGGAGAAAATCCTAATGCGGGCAACGTCTTTTTAAAAAAAAATTCAAACTTATACCCCTGCTTACCTTCCCAGGAACTTGCTATGCGAGATGGAGTGCCACGAGCACGCGTGGCCGTTCCTCCTCCCCGTGAACACGAAACAGTTCCCTCAGTACAAGAAGGTCATCAAATGCCCCATGGACCTCTCCACAATCAAGAGGAAACTCCAAGATAATATGTAAGTGTTACTTTTTTTGGCTTATTGTCATCAGCCTGCCCAGTGCTGGGCCAAGGCATCTTCTCACACGGAGAAGGTTTGCCGAAGAGCAATCTCTAGACTATAAATATATTTAATAAACCATATATAATAAAACAATATAAGAGGAGAAATAAAAAATATCATTCTGAATCTGTCACTTTCCTCATGTGTGTAAGTATATTTACCAACGTGAAATAAATAAAATTACAGACTGTTTTATTTAATTAATCTTTATGAACAAAGACCCATTATCGGTTGACGCTGCTGGCGAGCAACTTGTCGCGGGTTCGATACCCGCTCGCAACAACTCTTTGTGATCCACAAATCGTATTTTTGTAATCACACTCACGACATGGATAGAATCCTAGTTTTGGACAAAGTTTTCTTTAAAGAAATAAAAATATTAATTTCTTTTTTAACTCTCTCAACAGTTATAAATGTAAAGAAGAATTTGCGTCCGACGTCCGCCTCATGTTCAGCAATTGTGAAGTTTTCAATGAAGACGACAGCCCAGTGGGCAGGGCTGGACACAATATGAGACAGTTCTTCGATGACCGCTGGGCACAGATCTGATCCCAAGCCCACCAGTGGGAAGATGAAGGCACCACTCACTAGGTAACTCACATAGACTTCGATATAATGACCGAAAAACATTTTTTTCCGTCATAAATGTTGACAACTGATATAATTGCGCCATTTTCTCTAGAATCAAGGGAAAATTGTGTTTATGATAATTAAAATAAATGAAAGTCAGTAACAAAATGACTAGGAATCGACATGACAATTATATTGTATCAAAATGCCAAATGTTTTTAGCGCAAACTTTGCGCAATGTTTGCGCACGGTTGCGCAATTCAATTCTAAACGTGTTCTAGCGCAAATAAACAAAAACATTTTTGTGTATACGCTTTTTTGAATGACAATTTCGTAAGATAGAAGAGAACAAATGGATTTCAATCGAATTTGGACGTTATACTTATCACTATAAAGTCCATTTTTCAAATAGCATAATATGAAAGTGATAATGATCAAAGGTTGTAATTATTAGAAGTGATAAGAACACGAGGAAGCGAGATAGGAAATACATTTGTCTCTTTCTTTTATAAGTTGTGACAAATTTGTCTCGATTCATATCCCGGGTCGGGTATACTTAACTTACAATGAAATGTGAGATTACATAAATAGCCATTTATGGAACTCTGCTTAACTTGTTGTGTAAAATTAGGCGCCATTTTCTTTTATGACTTAATTATTTTCTGAAGACGTTTGGTGTGTGAAAGAGATAGCACTTAATTGACATAGGAAAGACAGAGATGCAACAAGAAAATAATTAAATGAATCCAGTGTTGCTTGAACTCTGTGCTTTCATACTTAAATTCTCTGAAAATGGTTAAATTAATTTTTGATTATTAAATTTATTGTATATGAACATCTAATATAACGTTGTCTTAATCGACTTCATTGAAAATAAACTCCTAATAAAAGTTAATAAATCGATTAATAATAATCGATAACAAAGTATCGATAAATCGATAAAAAACTGAATACGATATGATACTCGGCATCGTAACATTCATTCCACTAATAACGAAAATATTCCAAAAAACAAAAACAAAAACTTAAATTTAAATAAAGAACCGGATACGGAAACTACAAACATTCCAACATTACGACGACAACCGGACATGACGACAATCGCGAATCTCATATTTTGACGTATAACTAAAAAAACAAATGTGATTACTTACAAAAAGAAAAAAAAAAGAAAATTTCTTTTTCGAATATTATTAAAAAAAAAACTAGCAACTTGATAATGTTGTTCGATTGTACCTAGAAGCTTGTAAATAGTAGTTTATAAACAATAATTTAATATTATATAATTAATTAATTAATTAATTAAAAAAAGTATTAGAACGAGATATAGACATAAGGTATAGTTTAGACATTTTTCGAATATTATTTTTGTAATTTGAGCTTGCAACGAAGCAGTATTTGAAAAATTAAAATCAGCATTTCTTTCTGAGATATAGATAGCTGTATTATTTACTTTTGATTTAATATATAATAATAATAATAAAAAAAAAACATCACAAACAAATGTACATAATGTTTTTAATTTAACAAAAAAACAACATTCATTCTGTAAACCCTAAATCATAGAAATTATTTTACATATTGTACCACATTAGCGCTCAAACGATCGTCAACACAAAAAGAAAAATATAAAAAAAAAACATTAGATCAAAAGTAAATAATATATAAGTAAAAAAAAAATACTCTTTTATAATTTCAAATTCGTTGGCCAGTTAGTAATAGAATATAAATTGTACAATTTGTCGGATTGTGTAAATTCGTTGTATGTCGGAAATTTTTCGCATTAGGCTGATGTAGGTGTAATTAATTAGCTTAGGAGCTAGTTGAGCGAACATTTGTGTGTATTTTCAACAAAGTTCGCTATCTTACAGTGTTGTGTAATGAGAGGATCGCACTTGACTGTATTTGACTTACAATGTAATAGCTTCGCGTATTAATCTATCCTGGGATTTTATAAACAGCAACATTTTAGCCTATAGCACTCAGGAACATTGTAGCTACCAGTGAAAGAACTTTGGAAATCCGACCAGCGGTTTCAAAGATTATCCTCTACGTACAAAGTTACTAAAAATAAAAACTTTAGTTAAAATTTTACACCTTTGAAATATTTATACAATGTTTAGTTTCCCTGACAATAAATTCTAAGCTGTATTTTAGACTTTACTCTAAACCCTTAACCATTTCTTTAAAGTCTTAAGTCACACAAAGTTTTCTTATTTCAACTAAGGAAATAGAATTTATAATAAATATATATAAAATAGAAAGTCTATTTATTATATTTTAATATGTAATTTATAATAAAATAGAATAAATAGACTTTCTATTTCAATATGACTTAGTCTTAAATTTTAACGAATTAAAAATTACTATTCACAGATGTTGTAATCCCTTTAACGATTATTGTTTAGTCCAACCTAATTGTATATTTTTTTGTTTTAAGAAAACCCAAATCTGCTGGAAAGCCTAGACAAAGACTTTATGTAACTTTGAAATGATATTTCGTCCAAATTTTTTTTCAATATTTTTTTGTTCTAAAAGAACTCAAGTGCGGTCCTCCCAACTTTTAATAGTAACGAAGTAACAATGTAGAGATTTTGAAGCAGGGAGATTCTTTATGTGACCTATGGTTTACTGTGTATCTATGAAAAAATTAAAACAAAAATGCGTATTTCAATTCTGATACAAGCTGAACTACATGGGTTGAACTAGGTAATAGTAATTCGAAATGGACATTTAAAAAATATATTTTTCATTATATTTTGCTATTATTTTTCTTTGTTAGCCAAAGTTTTTTCTATTTGAATTCCAAGTTTATTTGTGGTTTATATTATTGATAAAAAATATTTCATTTCTTTTATAATATTACTAGGTAATTAGGTATAAATAATATACTATAGATTGGCTTGGATCTCTTTACATCACAAGAAAGTTCACAGCACCACAGTTCTGTTTATAATTTTATTCTGAATTGAAATACGTATTTTAATAATTCAATTTTTATCTCGAATCCAATGTCCAAAGTTTGATCACTGAAATAACTCGCTCTAAACGAAATTAAACTATAAGAAGTGTCAAATAAAATTCAAATTCTCGTAGTCAAAAACAATTATATTAATTAAGTATTAATCAGCGATCGATTTCAGTGATACAAACTTTTTTCCTTTATGTTTTCTTTTTTGTAATCTGTGTATTGTATAAAAAAAAATCAAAATGTCAGTCACTTTTAGTCTCTTAGTTCTTTTTTGTCATTTATTTTTTATTTATTGTCGTATTATTTATTCCCGATTTGTGTTGAAATGACATTATTAATTGTGGTTTCAGAATAACAAATAGTACTTACGTAAAATGCATACCTAGGCCGATTTTATTATAATTTCGACATACTGTTGTCTTGCAGACTTGATAATAACAATAGCAATAAAAAAAGACGTAATAATTAATAGAAAACACTGAGGGGAAATAGAATAGAAATATTTTTATACACACGGTAAATTACCAAGTTTTTTCTTACCACGATTTTTGAGTAGTGCAGGGTTAGATGTTAATAATTAATTTTATCGATATTTTTTTCCTTGACCACTCACTACAACACTATGTCGAAAGCGAAAAATCTTTATTTTAAATAACTGGAGAGTATTTAGTAAAAGTATTAATATTAGATAATACTTAATTCAGCTTTTTATAATTAAATAATATTTTTACTTGTGAACTATGCAAACGTCACACACAGGACTTTTTAAAAACTAAATTATTGTGTATCTAGCGTTTAAATAAATGTATACTACAGCTCTAAGGGAACACGTTCTGTAATATCGACCTACTGCCATCGAGATAAAGTCGCGTTTATCACGGAACGTGTTCCCTTAAAAATAGTCTTTCGTCCGCGAGGCGTGAGTGAGAAGTTGAGAAGTCGATATTCTGAAGTTTATGTTGTGTGCATCGGTTGATTTTAATTATAAAATGGATATATAAATTATATATACGAATAAATAAATAATTTTTGAAGCACTCCCCTCGTGTTTTATTTGGTAATTTTATTCCTAAGAGACAGCCGGAGTTGCAGGTCATCCCGCGGCCGGGCCTGGAGTAGGGGAAGGTTTTTAGGCAGTAACCCCTTTATTACATGAAAAGTTTTTTTTTTTTATGTAATAGGTCGGCAAACGAGCAGACGGATTACCTGATGGTAAGGAATCAGCGCCGCCCATGGACACTCGCAACGGAGGAGTTACGAGTGCGTTGCCGACCTTTTAGGGATTAGGGATTTGGAGATTTAGGGATTGAGGAGGGATTGGGGAAGGGGAAGGATTGGGCCTCCGGTAACCTCACTCACACGGCGAAACACAATGCAGTGGTTATTTCACGCCGGTTTTCTGTGAGGAAAAAGTTTCCATCTTTAAACCAGATTTTGAATCGTGTTCTCACATACCTATAATTTGATAATAAAACTGGCTCAATGGTTTAGACTGAAGGCAAACCTTGTTTTGTAATATGGCCGTAAGAGTCTGACAATCCCTCTTGCCCTACCCAGGTTAAGAGAAGCCTCATCATCATCATCAGCCTATAAGTGCCCACTGCTGAGCAAAGGCCTCTTCTCACACGGATTAGGTTTGAGCATTAATCACCACGCTTGCTCAATGCGGGTTGGCGATTTCAAACTTATAATTAGAAATTATAAGTCGAAGTTTCCTCACGATGTTTAACTTCACCGTATGTCAGTGGTGTCTAAGTAATCATAGAAAGTACCATATACCTTGGAAAAAGTCACATTGGTACTTGCCAGATTTCGAAACCACACCCTCATGCATGAGAAACGGGCTCCTCAACCTCCGGGCCACCACGACGACTGATCGATTCTGATGATTATTCCTTTACAAATATCTTTAAGTAAGATTCCGTCCGCCGAACAACAGTATCGGTAAGTACTAGGGTCACATAACGGCCGGGGTTGCGGGGTAAGCGTAATGAGTCACTGAGGCCATTCGATGAGTTTCCCCTTACAATAAAGGGTCGCATAAAGCAGCGAGAGGGGAAACAGAAGTTGCTACTTGGTGTTTGCTGAGCAATATAATGAAGGAATTTGACTTCTTAGCTATAGTAGGTACCAGGGTCTTATAATAAGCAAGGGAGTTCCGTACTTTATTGTTACTTCTATAAATTAATAAAAGAAATAGGTACGTTTGAATACTTAAAAGACGGGAGAACGCGTCGTG